CATTCCATACCACCTTCTAAATTTATTTAAATTTGTGGGTTATAATAAAATATATTCATTTTTTATATTATTTTTCGAGTTCAAGCTCTAATCTTAATTTTTTTCAAGTCCGAAAATTCGAATTTAACGCAGCGGACATTTGTTGAATTCTTTTTGCGCGATTGAATATTCAGGAGCAAATGTGTATGAATAATTGTAAACATGAGGATGATAATTTGTATGAATGTCTGAATAATGCGATGCGGATGGGTTGGCCTAATTCGTTTCATTGTGCATATTATTCATTTTTCAGTCGCTGTTGAGTTTATGCTCATTATACTAGTTGAGCAACTATTAATCCATATTTAAATATCCTGCGTAAGTTTGTATTTATTATAAATTACGAATTATTTTCTCCGTTTTATTTATCTAAAGAATAAAGAAAGAATATTTATCTATAAACACATAAACACAATCTATTTATGTATTTCAACTTCACTTTTATTTAATTATACTTTAATGTTTCAATAGCCCAATAATTCCAACACACAATTAACTTTTCGTAGAAAAAAATTATATTTAAATATTCAATTGTTGTACCACATCAAGAAATTCGTTGGTTGACGACAAGCCATCACGATATAGTAAAAAATTATTCTACATTATCACCTGTTATATTTAAATACACATATTTATATTTAAATAGTCAGAAATTCTTTTCACTATTTCCACGCCGTAACGTTAAGTAACTTAAATTGAAAATATTTTAATTTCAATGCCTAAGCTAGCTCTCGATGCAACTTCAGAATGCCTAACCAAAATAAGACGTCGCTATTTATGAAAATTTTCACGCTATTAATGCATTAATTGTTAATATTTTTTAGTTGTAATTAAAATTTGAACTAATTTACGTATGTTAATTATATCTTTAAATGGAATTCATTTAAACAATATGAAATGTTCGTCGTTTGTTTCTTTGTCAATGAGATATGACCATCAATCTGCGTAAATTTATTATAACCCTTTCAATTCACAACACAAATATACTGCTGGAAATTTTATTGAATATATTAAATGTTTAAATATAACTAACTTGCCTAGCATCTTTATTCTTATTAAATCCTTGAACATTTATAACATTCATTGTGATAAAATTAAAAACAGTTTCCCACAGACCTCAAGCGAAGCTGCTTCTGCTGTTCCTTTTGTGTGTAAACATCTATTTTGATTATGCGATTTATTCATAATAGATTAAAACTGGTAACTAAAATTATATCACAAGTAAAAAATCTATAAGTAAAGCTCATTAAAATGCCGGTATAATTCAATTATATTTTATACTTAATCAATTTATGCCATTAGAACCCAGTATGATATTAGTGATTAAACACTAATTTAAATATCATCTACAATTATAACAGGCTTACAGTTAATCGTTGACAAAATAACAAATTCACCTGAAGAAACTCCATATCTTAGTGCACGCCAGTTAAAATTTGAAATTTGTTCGGTGTTCTGATGAATATATAAAGTATTCATTTTTAATCTTACCTCAGAACTTAGGTGAAGTGTCAGTTCAATTTATTAATCCTGTAATGGAGCTACATGACCAAAATTTGACCTCAGTAAAATTAGAAAATAATGTTATAAGAAAATTAAATTTGCGAATTCAATTTTCCAGTTTGCATCCAATTTGTATATGTTACCGGATAAGCTTTAAATGTAAGAATCTACACTCATGTTTATTCAAACTATTGAATACATTTTTATAAAGTTCACTAGTAAACGTAAACAGAGGATATATATGTAATATATAATACATAAAATAAGCTTGTGTGTGAAAACTTGACGTGAAAAGATCCAAGCTCAGGTTCCCTGACACGTGGATCAGGAATAACACAGGAGCGACGCACGACACCTCACCACGACAGACTAAGCAACACTGAGCAGGCACAGGCCGAGGCCTAAGGAGATACGAGTTTCCCTCGCGACGATTGGCTGGCCGAGGGAAATCTGTTTCCCTAGTGGCTGGGCGCGCGAGGGAAACTCCTCCTGGCTCCGCCTCCGCGGGTTCTAAGCAAGTACATCGTCCCGTGTGACGACTGCTCTTAAATTCGAACGAGTCACCTGGTCTATTTTCTCAAACTTGCTCAATTTGAATTTTATTTGCCACGAATTTTTAATTCAAATCTTGATTGCAACATCCAGAGAGCGGCGTTAAGCACACAATCCGCCAATAGTGAACATATGCTAATAATAGGGAGAATTTTACCCTCTGTTAAGCCGAGCTCATATCTCTATATACAGAAAAATGATTGCGTAATTGTCCAAATGATGACACACGGTCATACCCGCAGCTGTAGCTGAGAGCGAGCGTAGCATTGATTCGTCTTTCGCTGAGTGAAACTGAGTCAATATGACCATACAAGGGCAAATTTTTGACAAAATTTTACTCATTTTTGTGAGTTAGTTCTTTCGTAAAGTAAGTGGGTGTTGTCTATATAATTACTTAACAAGGGCAAGGAGTGCAAAATTTCGACAAAATCTTACTCATTTTTCTGAGTTAGTCCTTTCTTTAAAGTAAATGGGTGTTGCCTAATTAGTTATAATTTCTAAAGTTAAAAATCATTTTGCACACAAGTTTCCGAATTTCACGTGCATGGGTCGTTATAGATATCATATAAGTAATCTGTCGTATATTATTGTCAGAGCCTGCATATATGCGTTCCATCGAATAAAACATTTCTAACGTAATTTTATAGGAAATTTGAAAATATGTTTTTCCGACTGCGTTTTTTTAACAAAGTTTCTGCTGCACTCATCATACAATGAAACAGATTCTGATCGAAAGCGTATCACAAATTCCCGATATAATATTGTTCAACGCTGCTATAAATTCAGGCTATGTTTATAGAAACAGTATAGTATGTATACTGTTTGCAAAATTATTGACTGTGCCGTGTCAAATTGGGTCAAGATGACCCGCAGTGGATGAATTGCGGCAATAATTGGATTGGAACAACTGACCATTTTAAAACGGATAGGATAGATTAATTATATATAGGGATAGGATAGATTGGGTTGACTTTTTAAAACGGATAGGATAGATTAATATACGGATAGGATAGATTGTGTTGACTTTTTAAAACGGATATGATAGATTAATATACGGATAGGATAGATTGTGTTGACTTTTTATAACGGACAGGATAGATTAAATATACGGATAGGATAAATTGGGTTGGTTTTTTAAAACGGATAGGATAGATCATATACGGATAGAATAGATTTGGCTGACTTTTTAAAACGGATAGGATAGATTATAATTACAGAGAACCCGAATCGAATTCGGATTGAATTTGAGAGAGAATATTAAGTTGCACGACATCAGCTTCGGCCACATTGAACTCATGTTTACCAACAGAAATTTAATGTTGTTAATGTTCAAAGAGATCAGGCATTAAAGTAGTACAGTTTGTAAATATATATTTTACCCGTTTATTCAATTACAAGCAGCTATATAAAAGGCGTCCAACGAGTGTGAATTGTGACGGTTGCTTATACCCAATTATAATGTTGGACGATAAATTATTAGTCGAAGATTTAATGGAAAGTTCTTGACAGGCTAAGATTAACTCAACACGTTACCGTAACATTTCCTGGAAAATTGTCAGCCCGGAGCTACAATGCGTAGAGTAAGAAATCATATGAGGATAATTTTTCGATGCGCGGAGGTTCTTACAATTAATTAGCTAATTTGGAATAAAATCAGCAGCTTAGTGGAAATAATAATACCTTTTTATAGATAGTTTTGATTCACTCAAAGTCATTCGTGCAGTCACCATGCACTGCACGAATGAATTTATCTAATTGTATATTTACTAATCTATTATAACCTTCATGAATCCTTCACACGTCCGTAAAATTTCTTCTTAACAAATCGTTATTTTTAAAATGGTAATTGATATTCAGATTAGCAAATAAGAAATAGATAACTTCAGTAATTTTGTAGATTATATAACTTGGATATAGAAGTATACAAGCATTTAACGCTTTTTGGATGATCAAGTGGAAAAGTTCCCAGGCATTTATATAATTGATCTTCTTTCACACTTATTCACTGCTGAAAACAATCTAATTGCTGTTAACACAACGAATGTACCATGTGAAACCCTTGCATGAACACTACAACATTCCTTATCTGGTGCTTCTAAGAAAAATCGGTGGAATAAAATCTCAAACGTGCATTCATTTCTGGCTTCAATCCCTCACCAATGGACGACGTATATAGATTGCGCAAAACACCATAAACATAAAGCAATACAAGACGAAAGCTGCTTGTCAAAGACTATGACAAACACCACAAATAAGCCCCAAATAGCGGCTAACTGGACCAAGTTAATCGGCTAAAACAAGAAGTAAATATCTTCAACAGACACTATAGCAAACGTCTCAATTTAAATGACATCTCCAAACGTCTCTAGCAACATCACCAAAAGTCTCAAACAAGCAAACGCCACATTTTATGTGTTAAGCCATCCACCTAAAAAAACACTAAAGGTTTCGTCCAGAAATTTCAAGCAGACTACATTTCATGTCTATATCAGACAACGCAGAACGTTTCAGAGCCTCACCATATATCATTATATAGGCGAATGATATCCAAACGTTTTAAACGTACACCGCCATAAATCTCAAACCAACTCCGAATAACGCTTTAAACAGACCAAGCCATAAACCTCACACAGACCATGTCAGGTGTACTTGCGAAAGACCATGTCAAGCTACTCCAATAGACCCCTCCAAGCCCTCCACTACACTGCTTCAAGCCATACACTATAGACCCCTCTAAACCTTCCACTGTTAACCACTCCAAGCCCTCCAATAGACCCTTCCAAGCCTTCCACTATAGACCCCTTCAACCCCTCCGCTAGAACCTTCTAAACCCTCCACTAGACCCTTCAAAGACCTCTACTAAGCCCTCCCCTAGACACCAGCAAGTCCTGCATTAGACCTGAGGTTCAGACCAGCGCCTGGACCTTGCAGAGGCACATGGCGTCCCCCGTGGCAGGCCGCCACAGGTACACGTACTGCACAGGTCCAGTCGTCACTGCAACAGGGGACACTCAAGAATTTTGTTATACGATCAAGTTATCACGTAATCGTATTACTTACATTACTACATAATCGTATTACATTACGGAGAATACACATTTTCTTCCATTTGCCTTTGAAATACATTTCCCGAGCCTGAATAACACGAGACACTCAAGAATTTTGTTATACGATCAAGTTATCACCTAATCGTATTACTGTATCATACTAAATACATAATCGTTTTACGTAAGCGTATTACGAAATATTACGTAATATTATGGGCACTGCAAATCTTCTTCCATTTGCCGTTGAAATACATTCCGCGAGTCTGAATAATAGGGGACACTCATGAATTTTATTATGCTATTAATTTATTAGTACTAGTATTACTTAATGGCATTATGTAATCGCATTACGTACGATTACGTTATATTATGAATGTTTCGAATTTTCTTTTATTTTCCGAAGAATTTTCTCTTAGCTTAAGATAGGGGACACTCAAGAATTTTACAGGATTCAGCGAATTTAGTTTCAACAAGACATTTTATCGTAAACCTGTCGATAAAAAGATTCTTCAAGATGGCAAAAGCTGTTTCTGGATTTGGATACTGGGACAGCTATATTTTTGGTTCTATTATTTTATATAAAAAAATAAGATTATTTTGATATATACATTTATTCTTGCAATAAACGCTATCGAATATACCGTCGTGCGTGGAGAGAAGAATGTTTCTAAATTAAATTTTCATCAAATCTAAATTCATGATTATCGATTATTACAAATTTTTCCATTGATTCATGCAATTCCACGTATAATTAATATTCCACTATGTAATTAACATTTTATGCCGTGAATTTATTGTTTAGATTCTAAAATTGGTTTGCAATCGTAAAAAATATATCACAGAATATATTTATTTTAGGGCAAGTACGGCGCTATATTTTTTTCATGTCTCTAGCTGTGTTTAAACTTACCAGGGAACTCGAACTGCTGGCTCTGAGTTGGAACTTGAGTCGGAGTCGTACCGACGACGGGATCGGTCGCGTCGCCAAGCAGACCAGCCTGTTGCAGAGCATCGTAAAAATAAACGTGAATTCCACGTTTATTTTCATGTACGTGAAATGAGAGTTTTTTCAAAATATCGTAACATTATTCTTAAAAAAAACATTTATTAAGGTTTAAGTGTTGTGGGAGAGTTTGTTGAGATAGTATCGTTCACATTCGAGTGTAACTCTTAGCAACGACGTTCAAAATTCAGATATTTTATTAAGTAAACGATAGTTGGAAAAACCTAGGCCAACGCAAGCCAGCAAAAGCATGATTTGGTCCGAATTTTACGCCTTCGGATCCTACAAATTGCATCCATCCGTCTTGTATTCGGTAACAATATTTGTTATGAACGTTGGAACAACCGCTGATATTTGGGTAACTGTCACCTAAAAAATAAGTTTCATTAATTTATCCCATTTTCAAAGGAATGTAGATCACATAAAAACAATTCGAAACTCCTCTACAACCTAAAAACTTAATGAAAATTAACACAAATACAAAATATCGGGAATACATTCAAGAAAAAAAATCGCCTACAAACAATTATGAATTATCGTGAGATGAGTGACAGGTATCATTCACATGAATTAGCTTATTATTGAGATTCTGACTTACGCGTATGCGGATGCCGGTAAAGTAAGGGCAGTCATCCGTCGTGGGCGCCGTGAGCACGATTTTAGCGACGGGCTGCGGGGCGCCAAGGTCAATTTTGGCGAAGTTTTTGGTGGTTGAGGTGCAGAAGCAGTCCTCCATTTTTCGGATGCAGCTCGTTCCCATTGTCTGGTACGTGAAATAAATAACTAGCTTATGTCATCAATTTGTATATCATCATTTGTATTTGTATCATCATCAATAACCCGAGTTGTAAGTACACCATTGGAGCTGGTCTCCAGAACGTTCTCAATAAAGATATTTTGCATTTTCTTTGCATTTATGATCTGGTTGAAATTTAAATAATAGATGAAAAAAGAAAAATCTTTTTACCCTTTTTAGGTTTAAACAAGGTTTAAATAATAATGTTTTCTTCTAGCATGAAGTGCAATTAGGGTGCCGAAAATTATTGATATATTCGTTATTTGACAGAGCACAGAATAAAACTATTCGCACAAAAAAAAACGAGGAAATGCATAAAAATGAGGAGTTGAGAATTAATCCGTGACTTTTATAATCTGCTCAAAGTTTGAACGCTTTCAGTTAATTTAGTAAATCGAAATTCGTGAATATGATGCAGCACCAGGATAAGATATTTTTTTGAAAGTTCAAATGATTACAACGTTGACTAGTTACTTCTGCGAAAAAACGGCACCTCGATAAAATGTTGGGACTAAAGGCAACTCTGCAGCGTTGCCTGGGAATGCTACGTACGACACACACACAGACTAAATATACTATAGACAAAGGATAATAGGGCAAAGACAAAGAATAATGGTACACAGATAATGGATAATGACACAAAGATAAAAGATAATGGGATAAAGACAATGGATAATGGGGCAAAGACAAAGGATAATGGGACAAAGATAATGGATAATGCCACAAAGATAAAAGATAATGGGACAAATACAACGGATAATGGGACAAAAACAATGGCTAATGGGACGATGATAAAAGATTGTATGACAAAGGCAATGGATAATGGGACAAAGACAATGGATAACGGGACAAAGACAAGGTATAAGGGGACAAAAATAAAAGATAAAGGAACAAATACAACGGATAATGGAAGAAAGACGAAGGATAATGGGACAAAGACAAAGGATAATGGGACAAAGATATAGGATAATTGGACAAAACAACGGATAACGGGAGAAAGACGACGGATAATGGGACAAAGACAACGGATAATGGGACAAAGATAAAAGATAATGGGACAAAGACAAACGATAGTGGGAGTAAGACAAAGGATAATGGATATCGACTAACCAGCACAGCGGCGTCGTATCCACCAGGATACACACTGCCGGGAATGACGAGTTTTGCCAAAGCCACGTCTACGGGGGGCATGAGGGCCGAGGGCTTGTGGGCGGCGAGGGTGGGGGCGGCAAACGTGGCCGTTTGGTAGCTTGCGTCCACACCGAAACTCCAGAGCGAACATTTAATGCCTGCAAAAAAAATTTGTATCAATAATCATATTTATATTGGATGTGGAACTTACTCATAATTTGTATTCAGGGAAGAGCCTTTGACTTTCAGAACTTTTTAAATTGAAAGTAAAGTTCAACCCCTTGTAACACATATTTATATCTTTGTTCATTGTTATTGTGAGGTGGTTCATGTACTTGAGCAACTTTTTACACGATATAATTCAAATCATATTTTCTTCAATTCTTTTCTTACAACCCTGGGTAAATCTGGTTAGAATTTTCAGTCCGGCTGCAAATGGAATCTTGAAAAGAGATTTCCAGAAATGTCAAACTAGAATCCAGCTAAAATGTGGGCGATAGAAAGACATAATCTAGAAAGACATAATATACGAAAAACACAAATGCAGGTAGTATTTAAAATTCAACATTTCGTTAAAATATATCACATTTTCAGTTGCTATATGCTTTTACACCTGGACTCCTTACCCACTCCTTGTCGAACATCAAATCACACTTTCTGTGTGATGAGTGAGTCATTATTATTATTACCCACAATCGGCGGTAAAAATTGTTTGTATTGCCGTTGCCTCTTTTGACTTACTTTCGTTCTATGACCCGTTTTATTCCATCGATAAATTAACTCACTGCGACTAAATCAAGTCAATCATCGAACGCAAAAGATTCATAATTACTCGATACGAGTTCAACTTTATTTCCTAACAATTATGCGCGAATCATCTTGATTCATTCGTTGATAGTATTATATTATTACTTGATACGAGTTTAATATTATTTCCGAACAATTATATGTGAATAGTATTGTGTTTTTTTTTTGTAGAAATAATAATATTTTTGATATAATTTCCAACCAACCGTCGAGAGAGAAGAAGGTGCAGTTGGACGAGGCGAGACAGCGGTCCAGACAGAGGATGTGACGGGCGCTGACGAAGTGCGTGTCCAGCGTGACGTTGACAGGTGGACACAGTGACGTGTGACGGGTCAAGTTGCCCAAGAAAAACTGAACAATTAATAGATAATTAATTGTTAACAATATTTTAGTACTTGGTTACATTTAGTACGTAATTAGCTTACGTTCTCCAGGAAGAACTAGAACGCCAGGAAATTTAACGTTAATGTTGCTTAATGCAAAGTCGCGTTAGTTCGTATTTAATTTAGTACGTCATAGATGGATTAAGAAACAGATTGATTGACAAGTGTATTTAGCTGAAAATTAAATAAGTTTAGCCGAAATAATATAATCCGTTATGCTGCTCCTTTGAATTTTTGACAAATGAAATGAAAAATTAAGCAACGACAAGATATGCTACATGTAGTTCAAGATATTCATGTACTTCTGGCAACCGTCTAAAATCAAAGGATAATTTATTTTTGGCAAAGCCGTACATGACGTACTGATTTCAACTCAACACCAATACTTTTAAATTTTACGATGAAAAAACCTACGGTCTTAATTTCGAAATCCTCACCTTCTCGAAAGTTTTCTGCTGCAGCAGCGCTTGCGTTGCGAAGAGTGTGGTCATGAAGACGATAGCACTTTTGACTAACGTTATCATTCTTGAAGTTATTGCAGACATTTCAACGTGAAAACTTGAACTTAATTTGACTAACTTTGAATTCTCTTTAGTATAAGCTTGAAAAACTACTGGCTGAAATATTTTATAAGCTTGGTCAAACAGTTAACTACAAAAAGACTTGAAAAAGCGAAAACTCGGAAAAGTTAAAAAATAAGCTCTGTTGAAAACTGAGTATTTTATTAACGAGAGATAGTAAATGAAAAAATTAAAATAGACTACATTGTCAAGTACTACATTTTAATCACTCGCACAATCACTCAATGAAGCCTACGCCCGCATAATTCAAAAGTGTCGCAAGCTTTTTACATTCGATAACAAAATTAATTTGAAAAGCTCTGAGCATTAGACCTCCCATCACGGCCAGTAGCCTTTATCAAGGTTATCTTCTTTTCATCGCGAAGTATTAAACCTCATATTAATTGCAAGTAATTTTTATACATCAATAAATTTTAATTGCGTTAATTTCATCCACAGTGCTCGTTTCTTATAATAGAATTTAGACTAATGCACAATATCTTTTATATTTTGTATTATTTTATGAATGAACACTTTATTGTGAATTCTCATACTTTCAGGCTTGAAGTTGATATAAGATTCTATGTATATCAATGCAACTCTTAGAAAAGGCGACAATATACGAGATGACTTCACCACGTTTCTACGTTCAATGGACTTTTCTCAAGCACCTACTGGGAGCACGCTCAGAGCCATTCTGTTCGAATTACTCGGACGAACCCATGACAGAAGAGATAGAGCTCTTAACATTAATAGGCAAGGTACCGAATTTTTCATTGATAATTACAGGAAGCAGAGAGTACGCCTCCATTTGTTAGTGTGATCAACCAAATGGTATTCATAATGGATTTAAAATTGCCTCCTCGGTATGATCAATGATCGCAGCTTCAACCCCCTGAGGTCTTACTGAGTGGATGAATCGTTGATATTGAGTCGATAATGCGATCCAATTAGGCTCGCCCCATGGCTATTACGTTTATTAATAATATTCCTATGAACAATTTCGTATGAACAGGTCTGAAATCATCTGCATTTCAGATAATATTTTTTAATACAGAGACAGCATTTGTGGGGCGATGGAGTTGCTTTTATTCTGAACACACGTAGCCACATGACATGACGAGGTACTCATTTGGGGCCGTGTTAAATAATTTTTGTTTTAGACGAACAATTTGAGCAATGCGAGGCAAATCTGTATAAATTATGATAGCTTATTTAGTTCACTTAACACATTTTAGATTTTGATCTCGACTCAGCTAGAGCAAAAATTCTTTAAATATTTGCAATTCGGATGTAGTGAAGACATTTTTTATCCCTTTACTAGAACGCTGGTTTATGAAGCTGGGACTAAACACTACCCGTGCCAGGTTTATACGGTGTTAAACTACTGTAATTTATCAATGTAGAGTAGGTAACTTATCATCGCCATAGACTCTATTTAATGCCATTATCTCATCTATGTTTGACGGAAAAAACTGGCACCTCTAGACGGTAAATAAAGCGTGAAAGTATTCGTATATGCATAACATATAAGCGTTTAGAGAAAAGGATTAGAGATGTATAAATATGAATTGTTCGTAAACGACCAACTGCATCTTCAAACCTTAATCATATAAGTAAAATGAGCTTCAGCCTGAAAATAATTTGATGTTGCGTATGATTGTCAATGCTTCATAATACCAAGGCTGGTAAATGGGATATCAAAAGGGATTACCGCTAGTTGTCCATTAGTCAAGAAAAAGGGTACGTAGATTTAATTTATTTTAAACGTTACTCTGTAGTACACATCCTCATTAACCCCTGACCGTTTAATGCGTTCTGGAGGGACTGAGTGATAGTGAATTAAATAACTATCACGTTAACTTTATATAACCGGAACACTGGTAAGGAGTGGATAAAAAACATGATTGTCGTAAGTCTCGAGTTTATTCAAGAGATCATACAGGTAGTGTCAATCAAGATCATCATACGTGATTTTATGCCTAACAACTTTTAACGTGGGCCACAAATTCCGTCGTAATAGACATCAATTTAAATAATAAAACAACGAAGGACTTGCACCGCCAGAAAACGATTTAGTGACAATTATTGAACAATAAATCATGGTGATTATAGAGAAGAATAAATGGTGACTCCATAATAGAGTTTGAACGATCGATATAACATTGAAATAATGTCACTCGTGACCTTATGTACAGTATGTGCATGAATCATACAGGATTGTTGTCATCATTATTGAATATGTGAATAATATCTGAATATCTCTTTATGAACAGCTGATAAATTTGCGCTTCTGACTGTCCGTGATCATGCGTCGCTAATATGGGGAAGAATTTATAATTGATGGGAAAAGAAATTCGTTACGTTAAAAAATTAGATCAGTATTCACTGCAGTGAGTGACAGAGAGCGCATTTTCTCGTCCGTCCGTGATGTGAAGTCACGGACGGACGGACGGACATGACGAGCACAAAAGCGCCTTTTTTCCGTAAATGAGAAAATCCGCAAAAAACGTTACGTTTAACTCCAATTATCATTTATAGAGGCTTAGAAATTATTTTAACATGTATTATCAAGGTCATTTTATTGATTATACTTGAATCCGTTTCGTTTTTGAACTGATGGCCGAGCTGCTTTCAGAAATTTTTTCAATAATGTTATGGTGAACCTATTGCAGTTTTCTTTGCCATAGAATTTATGTCGCCCCTAATATGCTGTGCTAATTTTTTCCGGAAAAATAACTATTAGCTTCTTTGCAGACAAGTATATTCGTTGTTATTTTATTATTGCGTTTCAAAGCATGTATCAGTCCTGTAAATTTTGTAGTTTAATCGAAATGAATCGACCTAGAAAGTTTTATATTCGTAAAATCAAAACTCCCTCAAGACCACCTAGCGATCTAAGTACACGTAGCGGCCAATTTCTCGTTTGTGATTGGTGCGTTTAGCTTAAAAAGCTATTAGTGATTGGCTGAAGGAGTTACGATCTTCTATATATTTTTTGACAGTACGGCGCTTGGTCTGCGGTTCTCTCTCTTTACAGGAAAGCTTGCAGCTTGCAGACCAAGATTGACTTCAGTTCGGCCTCGTTTTGTATGCGGACGTAGCGAACACTTCCAGACACTGCACATGAAGTAAGAACGGCATTAATGCGGGAGGATATATTTTCTGGCCAACCATTTGATATGAAAAATATGTCAGAAGTAGCATATATATAATTGCTACATGTATCATATATATAATTGCTACATGTAGCATATATATAATTGCTACATGCACACATAATTTATACGGATTTCATGTTTTAATTTCCTTGAATTAGAAGGTTTTATCACATATGTTAATTTTTTATAAATTTTTATGGATTACATTTCATTTTAAACTTATTTCTTTTTAATTCAAATATATTAGTTTCAATATAAATCTAAATAAACTAAGGACAATGCAAATTAACACAATTATTATCATGGTTTCTGTTTCTATTATCATTTATTAATAGTTAAGAGTTGAAGGTCTTTCTTTTATTGAACGTTTATTACTATGAGGAAAAAAGCAAATAATGCATGTTAGCTTTTCTTACCTTTAAATTGGATCACTTGGTTGTCAGTGGCAAACATCGGTGTGACTCCAATCTTGGGATCTGATTTGGTTCCTGTGTTTCCAGCCTATGGGTTGAAAAACTTTAAATCAGGGTTTGATTTAATGATTTTTTTTATAATATTTTTGTTGAGTTGCATACAAGGCATGCAGTGTAAAATAATGAATTGAAATTTTAGCAAGAAGCTTTAAATTTTCTGAGAATTTTATTAGGGAAGGACGTGTATGAATTATACATGAATGATTCATGGAGATATTGGTGCAAAAAATAATAGGAAGACTCTCGGGAGGAAATGAATGTACAGCGCATTTATTATATGCGTGATAAAGCTTGACACAAAAATTCATCAATGCATAATAACATGCATAAAAGGCTCACTCTAACTTTACTCATTAAAAATCAAATTTTTAAACACTGATCAACATCACATTTAATTTTACTGGATTGAATTTCTTTTCATGATGAAAACAAAAACGTAGTGCTGTGAAACACGATTTTAATTTCATTCAAAATTGTGTTTTATATTATAAGCAACCTACTCGCACAACGATGTTGTAGAAGAAATCAATTTTGGATCCTGCAGGTGCTGTGAGAGTCACTCTAGTTACCGGCAGACTCTGCAGCAAATCAACCGTCGCCCAGTTGCCCTGCACCAAACTGCCGTAGCAGTCCGTGCCGTTAGGCAGACACCAGCTACCTCGAGTCTGAAGGGGTTAAGAAGCGTGTACACTAGAACAGCACTTAGGAAATGAGCGCGACTTACAAGGATAAATTTTTTCAAACAGGGATAAACTTGAACATTTCAAACAGGGATAAACTTAAACAGTTCAAACAGGGATAAACTTAAACAGTTCAAACAGGGATAAACTTGAACAGTTCAAACAGGGATAAACTTAAACAGTTCAAACAAGGATAAACTTAAACAGTTCAAACAGGGATAAACTTGAACAGTTCAAACAGGGATAAACTTGAACAGTTCAAACAGGGATAAACTTAAACAGTTCAAACAGGGGTAAACTTAAACAGTTCAAACAGGGATAAATTTTCTGCCCTGTGTGGTTCACCCTGACAAAATATGCCCCTAGAAATATGGTGTATCATGGCTACATGCAGGAAGTGTGTCATCATTTCGATAAGATGACTCATATATTTTTCTGAGTGAATAGTGGCAGCCTAGCTGCAGAAGCTGCCTCCTCTGTCCCCATGTACCGACACATCTATAAATTTTTATTTCAAACTGCATATCTTAATGTCGTTTATGCAAAAATTTACGTTATTCAATCATTATAAAATACAATTAAGATTTATTCATCTATACACGAGTATTCGATCATACATGAACACGCACACATACCCATTATTCAGAGGATGAATATTTATTTCGAATGAGGGTACTTAATTTTTAGATCAAAATGGCTACCGACGCAGAAAATGTCAGTGAGAATTGTACAAAATTCTGGAAACAAACTTATGAAAATAACTTTTTATTTACTAATGTCGTTATTAAAGGATAAACCAATTACGAAAAAATTGTAAGTTTCTTTAAAGTTACTAAACTGTGTTGATATTATCCCTTGCATGCAGTTTGAATTTCAGCGAGAAGATATTTGTGTATGTTGATAAATGAGTGTAGTGAAAATAAATGATCATTACTTTTTTGCAAGTGCTTGCTTTAAAGTTCATACTTCGGTATCAATGATGAATTGTAGACAAATATATACGTTATTATTTCATTATTGCATTTCAAAGCATGTATCAGTCGTGTAAATTTTGCAATTCAATCGAAATGAATCGATCCGGAAAGTTTTGTGTTTGTAAAATCTACAATTTTGCTAATACTCACGAGCATTGGGGCCTGGGCATAGATGGTGTGATTGCTGCCCCAGGTAACAGGTTTCCCGATGGCGACGTCCGTAGGGAAAGACGAAGGATCCAGCCGAGGTCGGTAGGATAGCACGGTGGGCACCGAGAACACCGCCTTGTTGTAACTCGCGTCCAGAGGGAACGACCACAGCCAGCAAGCATTACCTTATTATAATAAGAAAAACTTTTTCGTATCGTGAATACTTTCACTGATTACTGTACTAAGCTGATGTCAAAGTGATAGATAATAAACAACACATGAATGTAGGAGGATTCTAATAATCCTTGCTGCGTGAAAAAAGTACCTATATCAAAAGTGCACTAATATGATGGTTAGTTGAATTTGTTGTGGAATTCGATGTAATCAGCTCGCCGTAACGATTGCCTTTAAAATAATCGCTACAATTTCGTCAATACGTACGTGAGCGGATCAACATCACGAAGAATTTTGCACTCCTATTTTCTCGGTTTGCTTTCAAGAACTTCACATAAAATTCAAAATAAAATAAATGTAAAACTTAATGTTATACAAGTTGCACATAGAGGCAAGCTTTAGCGTTCATTGTGGGTAGTTTTTCGTAACATTCGGCATTTTTTGTAGTCGCGTATAAAATTAGATTGGTTCGTCAGAACACATTTCCTTTTAGGTCGCATTCCGGCCAGGTGCCGCGTTCAAGTCGCTAATTTATCTAAGCAGTCGGTCCAGCTAATGTTTACGTTATTTCTTTCATTGACCAGCATTTAGATCTCTGGCTATTAATTAGTCTCTGTCTGTTAATTAATCTCAGTTTTTGATGGGCATCCAGACAAGTCACACTGCCAGTCTCTATGCATCGTCAGCTTCAGTATCACAGCCACTAGAAATGCTTCAAACAATCACAATTTCTATTAAATATTTTCGTGTGCTGTTTCACCATCTTCCCGTCTGTGTTTATGGTGTTATTTATTTTTCATTTATAAACATGCTATGCAATGAAGTTTAATACAGTACTCCAAACAAAGAAATTAGTCAAATTATTTCACCAAATTAGCTGCTTGAGTCAAGGGCTCTCTTACACCGCTAAAATCAATTGCTACCTCACACCAGTGTGGTCTCTTGAACTTAGAATTATAGTAATTATTTTGGTCGCTCACCGTATTTTCTAACTTTGAAAATCCAACACCGCAAGAATTATACTTCTCTTCTATTTGGATGAATACCAATTTGCTAATTCTTTATTTGATTATCTGATCGTGTACGGCAATTAATATGAATTCCTCACAAAAGACGTGACAGTATTTTATTCAATTTTCCCATACCACACAAATAAACATCGTAAGTAGATGGACGACGCGGACGGAGATTTCCGAGATTAAATTTACGTAATTTAGTTTAAGAGTCATGAAAATTGTACATTTTAATCATTATTTAGTTTATCTCACCTGGGACAGAGAAAAACGAGCAGCTTGTGTTATTAAATTTGCGTAATTTTATTTTGCAGCCATGAAAATGTTACATCTTAATCATAATTTATGTCCATCTCACCTGGGACAGAGAAAAACGAGCAGCCTGTGTTAGCGAGGCAGCGCATGGCACAAGATATGCTGGACCCCGCCCGACTTGGGGGCATGTCCAGCACTTGGGGAGGACACTTAGGTTCGTAGTAGCTCACATCAGCCAAGTTAATCTGCGAGAAAATAATCATTGTCATTTAAAAATAATTTTTAGGATTTTAGACTGTTAACATTGAAATAAATTTGTCCGACGATTTCAAATTTATCATTTATATAAAAAGTAAATATTCAATATGAATAACTAAAAAACAACAGGTAATTGAAAAAATGGTAATAATAACTAAATATTTTTTCAAACATATCAAGTACTAAAATTTAGTATGAAAATAATTTATTATTTACACGTTACCAGTAAAATTTATTTCCTTATTTGCCTTAAAAACTTGCCACATTGTTAAACATTTTTTCTCCTCACCCTTTCGAAAGTTGCATCAAACGACAATGCGCCTCCTAGGCCACCAGTCAGAACTTGCATCAAAACTATAGTGCGAGGAACATCAAAACGCTTGACCGCCATCACTTGAGATCTGCGCTTCAAAGACTTTCCAGAAATATTTTGAAAAAAATTTTTCCAGAAAAAAGTATGCAAGCAATCTATAGAATTTACCTTAAAAATTAAACCAAAGTAAAGGTAAATGCAGGTATTAAATTAAAAATAAATCTACTGAACAGAACTCGAAGCTATCAAGACCTTGTTGTGTGACAACGCCGGCGCAGAGTGAGGCTCCAAAGACTCATCATATGTGTAATATAAGCGATGATCGTATGATTAATGGAGATCTTGGGCGGAATAAAGAAATGCTAGGCATGTATTTTCATGGGCCGAAGACGCTATTGATTGAAGATTCTTCATATCAAATGAGAAGCAACGTCCTGCCAAGATTATTGTAATCTTCCGAAAACATAATATTGAGCTACAATGAAGGCGATGCATAAAGCTTTTGATTATTGACTACAATATAATTACCAACCAAAAAAATTGAACATAATATATACTTTATATATTCAATATGAATTATTAAAGAAAATTTTAGTCAGGAAAAACAATAGCTCATAAAGTACAAATATTTAAACGGCGATACATGATTACATTTTGCTCCTTCAAAAATGTATCTATTAGCGTTACAAAAGCAATTATCATTTTCCATGTCGTCAATTGGGCAATGACCATTCAAAATTTATTTCCCATTCGAAACGAGACTATTTCCCTTAATTATTTAATGTTATAATCTTATTAAATGTTGCAAATTTAATAAGAAATGTTCAAACATTTACTGTAGAAATGTTTAGACATTTACTATAAGCCGAGACACATCTCTCCTCATTTTTTTACCTGTATACAAATGCATAAATATAATTCACAAATGTATAGAGATAATTCAAGTGAAGACCCAACCAGTGTGGTGACGAAGCCCTGATAAACGAGCAGCCTGATGGCCGTTCTTATCAGGCATGAATATTGCATCGCCGCTCGCATTTACTAAACCTTCAGAGTTACATTATTAATAAAGTTGCATGTCGGTAATGTTTTGCTATGCGGAAGAACCCGTCTTTTCGTCGCACGTTATTCCTATACTAATGCATTGAAGAATCAATCGCCCTCGTTGACCAATTTGTCTAGTTGTTGCAACGCTATTCTTACGAGGTGTGTATATTAAATGTTTTCGTGTTCATAAATATGACATATCGTCACAGTGCTATTCCTACCACAGAGGTAGTTTAACGAATCACGTAGTGAATCACCGTTGATTACAACACTTTTCATCACCGTCTCCTATGCATTAAGCATATTCCTTTTATTTTAGTTTGGTCTGCTATCAGAATATATTCTTGCCAGTTCTATAGATTAAAGAATATTCGTGATGATAAATTTGTCGTTATTATTTCGTTGCATACAAATTTTGTGGTGACGAGATATTTAAATTGATTGCACATGAATTATTATTATTGATTATCCATTGTATCACTCAAATCATGACGTCTATAAAGGCTAATTGATATCCTCGATTTTATTATTCGTGCAAGCAATTATTTATAAGAGAACCATTTACTTATTTGTTATTTATTTGCGTCAATATATATTGCTTATATTTATTTCGTGCTACGTATTGTGAATGATTAAGGCTCCTAATCGCAACCATCAATAATCATTAGTGTAAATGCTCGATCAGAAAATACTGATCAAGTGTTGGAAGCCCCGTATTTATCTCTGACCTTTGAGGGCTGGGGACCATTGAATGTTTCGTTATTGAAGAAAATTAATTAGTCCCGTGTAACCAAAAATGTGAATTGTTTTCGTTTTAAAGGACGATTAGAGATTTGGTTTTTCCCAGTTATTAGTATGGAGGACTTAGAAGTAATAAATTATTTTCGAGAAAGTAGTTTATTCTATTCAACACTCCAAGAAATTTGAATAAATCATCATGTTTTCATTAATATTTTAATAATTTGTGGCACATGCATGGGAACTATCTTTAATGATCGTATATCAGACTGAATGAACATATAAACGCAATATGTTCAAAGGAGCAGAAAATGGACGGTCTTATGTTAGGTTTTGTTCAAGTGTATTTGGAATATTTTTTTTATTTGCTATGCTGTGAAATATATATAACAAGCCGAAGGTCCAATGCATTAATTTCTTTTAAATTTTTTAAACGTTCTTGTTCTGGTATTGATTATTTCAATATTACAATCATGGTAATTTCACATTAACTATTAAATTATAACTTTTCGTTTTCTTTTGGGGAATTTCTATCGAAAATGAGTTTATGAGTGTTGGTTTAAAAAAATATTAGTTTTAATATTTTATATGTGGGACTGATATATTAGAAAGAAATTTAATTGCTGAGCATAAAATTAAAATACGTGAAGGTTTACGCAGTAAACTTTTGTAAATATATGAAGTATATATTCAGTTCATTGAATCAATTCAATATAGTCAGTTCGTTACATGTTAAATTATCTATGTGAAAGATCTTTCTATACTTCACTGGGAGAGAAGTGCAATATTCGATTTTTATACGTATTACACATTTTTATAACTACTTACGTGATAGGCATGTCTGAATCAAAGAGTTCACTCAAGTAAATGATTGAAACTTAGTCTAAATAGTGATGAACAGACTTATTGTTCAAGTCATGCTGACTAAGTTTGGACCGGCAAAAGATCATTTTATTGCTACGTTCACGAAAAGTATCATTATATGAACAATATTTATTTAGCTTATGATGTGTACCGTGTCTTTAGCTCGTAGCTCAAGGTTTATCGTATATAAAATAAACTGATTTACGTAGGATTCTGGCATTTATGCAGTATTCTCAAGCTTCGTCTAGCTTGCAATGATGGTGAAACTATAGGGAACGATTTAAAATCTCGTATAGATATTAATGTTGAATTTTCATTCTAGACTCTTTTATGAAACCATATAGTCAAATTAAAGCCATCAAACTTGCCGCTAAGAACAAGAATTACACAAGATATTCATAAGGAAAGTATGAGACAATAATTTTTTAAATTAAGTATTCCACAGTTTTCAACTACGTAACTTAAAAATGATGCACCGCTGACGATCGAACAGCAGAATAATTTATTTGCAGTTGAGTTTTATTATTAATCTATTGTCATTATACAACAATGTATTCTTATTATTAATATTAAGACTAAAATTGTGCATCTTCTATTGATGAAATTATTTAATGTTCAACAGACTGCAGACATTATGAGTAGAAATCAAATGAATTGATTAAAACGTAATTATCGAGAAAATAAATTAGCTAGAGGTACTCTTTAACCTTAAGGGTGGGCTTAGAGCTGATTGATAATTGATTATAGACAGAAATTTGATTTTGAAACTTTTTTATTCATATCCTTATTTCTTACTTCAAGAACGACAATATATACTTTACACTGTTACTTCTTGTGTACATTCAGAGAAATAAGCTGAACTTTGTCCAAAATAGCGATGCAATTTTCGCCTATGAATTGGTTCTTTCTGACCAAGTTTGGCCCGAAAAAATGACACAGCAGTGCCACGTGTAGAAAGAGTGTCTCTATTTGTACATTATGACCCATTAACTTCTATGAGTATCCTTCTTAAATTCAATTTATCAATTTCAGTTATTGAGGTCCGAAAGAATTTCTAATTTATTTTTTTTCGACACCCTGTCTAAGATCTATTCTGATTTTTTTTGCATAGCGTTGTGTGTTAATCAAGATGTCCAAAATAAGTGAAATGCAAAATGCAGTCCCTCATTAAATTCGATCAGTTCATCTTCATAAACGACAATAAAAAAATTTAATTTTGGCAGCCGTTACCGTCAAATATATTTATTCAAAATTTACCTAATATTTACCCAGAATTTACTTGGATTTTCGTTTTTTTTTCAAGTAAATTAATTGAAATATCTCTAAAATTTTCACCAGTGTCAGTAGTTCATATTCATGTCTGTGTTGAGTGGAGTATTTAGAATTCATCGCCTCAGTAAGCATTCACAATTCAATAATTAATTAAATTCTTATAATCAACAATAAAAAATACCTCAAAATAATTATAACAATATAGCTTATAAGCGACAGTGGAGTTATTTTTGCAGTCAATAATTTCATGGAATTTGAATTATTCAATACAACGGTAAAATTATCACTTTTTTTAAATCGAGTAAATAGACCTTTTCCTTTAAAATAGAGTAAGGGCTTTTTTCCTCATGACTACTTTGATTTGGACGTCATTAAAAGAATTATTATAAATAATAATGGGAAATATATGACCTCAAACTTCGTCGCGTTAAGATGCTGATTTCATATTTCTGAAATTCTTTTTGCTCTGTTCTATCAATGAAATTAAATGATTTTGGTACATTCAAATGAAGCTTTTTAGCGCATTTTCTCATTTATGAAAATAAGCGCTATGGTGCTCGTCATGTCCGTCTGTCTGTCCGTCTGTCTGTCCGTGACTTCAAGTTTTCGTCGACGAGAAAATGCGCTCTCTATCACTCATTGCAGTGAGTACTGAGTTATATTTTTTATCTTAACGAAACCATTTACAAAATATTACCAAACAAATTTTCCAATTTTCATGTCAGAGCTTAGACGTGTAATTTATGTTGTTATATTGAATATTTCTATGAAAACATTGTTGGGACCATGTCAGCGCAAGGACAGAAGAATGCACGTATGCCATTAGCAGCAATTTATCAATTATCCGTTTATTTAGATAATGACGGGTGACTAAATAATTGCATTCATTCCAGTGACATTTCATTTCTTTCCTCACGAAATACCTTGTATTTTGGGACATTTTCTGTAACATTTATATTTTAAAATTTGACTTTGAGGGTAAATTTAGTTTCATACCATAGGTTCCAAATATTTTTCAATCCGTACATTAGTTAAATAGCAAATGGAATTGTCAAACTTTAGTCATGAAAAAATTTTTTAAGAATTTCTTTGGATGCTGCAATTATAGGATAAAATATTCACTACCACGCACGAGGTAAACAGGTTAATATGAATTT